GTCTTTCAGTATTAATTTATTTGATGTAGGCCTAGATGCTGTGAAATGTTTCAAAACTTTTTTATTAAGAAATCTTTCTAACACTTTTTTAACAGAAATATGCTTTCTATGCTGCTTCCTTGTCTAACAAGCTAAAAAATTTATGGATCTGAAAGAACGTTTTCCGTGAGATAATGTCATTTTTTTACTCACCATGTATTTGTTTAAAGACTCATTCTTTTTCAGATTTTCATTAAATGATTGAAAGTCTTCCAAATGTTTGAATTGTATAACTAGACCGTGTTCTTCATCAGATGTGACAACGGGGTAAGTTCCCATATTAGCCACTAATCCTTGTAATTTTATTATCTCCCCTTGCATTGTTCCGATTTGCTGCGATAATTTGTGATAACAATCTCCAACAAAAGATTTTAAAGAATTGAATCAAATAAAATAATTCTTAAAAAGTTGCCGGTTTATATGCTGGTAAGATGTATAAAAATATATAAACAAAAAATATAATTTGTAATGAAATTGTCAGAAAAAAGATTATAAACTAGTAGCTATAATAAGGCAAATTATATAATTGTTAAAATATTCGGCATAAAGTGATTTAAACGAAGCTCTGCCGAAAAAAAATTCATAATTATAAAGAATATTTTAATAATTACTTTATTATAAGAAATTCACACGGAAAAAAATTACTTTAGAAAGAGCAATAACAATGACACAAAAGTTTTTGGAATTTACATAAATAAACTATTCTAAAATAATTTAATTTTAATTAAAAATAAAACACTAAAAAAATAAAAATTAAAAATTAAAATTAAATTATTCGATAATAATAAAAAGAAAAATGCACGATAAATTGCTAATAAGAATACACTTACTTGAAGCATTGCGCGACTTATTGCCTAAAAGGTCCGGGCGTGTTTCCATACAGAATTGGCCCCACCCTGCTATTTAAATTATTTTGATGTCATTTTATAGGTATTTTCGAGAAAATTCGAAATACCAAATTTCAAATCCGTAGCTCATCATTTGGCCGAGATATCAGTGAAAACATGTGAAAGTGGCCCCTTTTTTCAAACTCACTTTTTGTCGGAAATATGAGAGACATCGAAAAACTGTTAACGTCATTTTATTTATACTGATCTTGTCTATGTTGTTCATAACAAATAATGTGAAAAAATTATTTGTTAGTGCGTGAAAAGGTGAAAATGATTTTTCATTTTCCATTTTCTACCAGTGCGGCTTTTTGGACTACTTTTATATTAGCATCATTCGAAAGCCTGTAGATATTTCTTCTGTTATTCAAAAATTCATTTAAATTTAAGCAAAACTTTGGGTGAAAAGTTGGAAAAACTTAAGCTAGTACGCGCGCTGCCGGTACAAGAACACCCATATAAAGTAGCTTTGCAAGAGCGACGAGCAAGCATAAGACTCGTCGTTACGCGCATCTCGACAAATTCTGGTATATAAGTATGGAAATATTTATTAAATCCAAAATTTATTTATATTTTGTATATAAGTATATTCATTAGTCATAATAAAAAATCCAACGCGCCGAATAAAATAATAATTATTATTACTGATTATTTTCATTCGGCGTATAAGCTTCTGACTAATATATTTCAATGAATGAAAAACTTAAGATTTCAATATTTTTCATATATTTACGTAGGCAATAAAAAGTATTTTAATTTTAATTTATTACCTTTTTTGATTTTTGCAATGTTTTTATATTGTATATAGTTATCGTTAAATAAAAAATCGATAAAAATATATGTCAGAAACATTTCATAGCAAGTATATAAGTATTAAAAATGTATTAAGTATTAAAAGTATATAACAAATCGTGGCAACCCACAATTCTCTCTTATAGTACCACATACCCTAATTTTTTTCTCTAGTAAATTTGCCGTCAGTTCCACACTGCTATAATAATTGTCCATATAAACGTGGTGCCAAATATTCGCATAGTTCTCTAAAACATCTTCTACAAGGTTTTGTAATTTCTGCCCATTTCCGTTATACAATTTAAAATTTGTGATATAAGCACTTTCAGATTCACACAACAACCTGACAAGCATCCCGTACTTCGTTTCTAATATTATATCATTATTACAAAAATGTAATGATTGTAAAATTTGCCTAAATCTATTTCGAGGCATAACTTTCCCGAAAACTGGTGTCTCTATAAGTTAACCCGTAGACCAATAATCGTTCAAGTTCCTCTTATTCACCTGTCCCATTAAAATATTTAAAGCAAGAGTCCCATTGTTTTATCTTCTTTGTAGATTTATATTTATTCACATTTTGCAAGTGGCACCTGTTCGTTTCCTTTACAAGTAATTCAAAAAAATCATTGCCAATAAATTCGTCATTGTTAAATTCGTCATCGGAATCGCTCTTTTCCGAATTACTTTCAATAGGTAAAACTTTTCCACTAATAATAATGTCTGACTCATCACTTTCACTTATATTATTTTCATCCCCAGATAATATATCTGCATATACTTCACTATTATCATTGCAAATATTATTATTATACTCAACAGCCTGTTGTTCCATTATAAATCTCGTTCAGTGGTCAATATTTCAATATATAAATAATTAAAAACTTCAAAATTGACCTCAGTAAAAGAACGTACTACTACGTCACCAGCTACAGCAATTGGAATACGAGTGACGTATTACGTCAGCGGCCATTGGCTAGCGGACAAATAGGCACGAGCACGATTTCCCTTCTCTTTACACCTGTAACACTTCAATTCCTTCTTCCCAGAGTACTTCTTCTCTCTTAAAACTGTGCTATTCTCCTACCGTGGTTGGTTTTCGAAGTGGCTCTGGGCACTCTCTGGTTTGCGTCCCACTACTTTCACTTGCTTTCCTGTCTGCTACTAACTTCTCATACTTTAGTATGCTTGCACTTAGTTGTCTGGCATTGCTGTGACTTATTCACCTGCCTCTAAGTAACACTAATGCTTATTTTGTAGTCCGAGAACTATTTCATGTTTAGTCTCCCGGAAACTAAGGTTCAAATCCTGGCACAGTTTTCTCTTAGAATGATAGTATACAATGGCTTCTTCCGACTTCAGTTGGACTCGTTTCTTCATGCGTTCCCACTTCATGTATCTCCATCCTCTACATGTGTGAAAGCATACTTGAAATCTTCTTTAAAGTTGTCCCACGACTTTATTTCATTCCTCTCCGTGTCGTACCAATCACGTCCGGCACCTACCAAATGGCATATTGCATTGTCCAACGCCATATTATCCGTGACTTTAAACTATCAATCTTTTGCAGCCTTTGCCTTCATTTGCCTTTTCTGTTCTGCCGTCGAAATGCCCCAAAGTTTTCGACAAATCCGTCATCAAGTGATATACCGGTCTCGTTTGCTTATCCTTCTGTCTTAGTAACGCCCTCATCATGTCATATAACAACTCGTCGCGTGTCCCCATTATGCTCGTATTGTCCGCGTTGAACATGCTTTGGAACTTCTCAAATGCGTCTGCGTTCCCTCCATTTTTCCTACTATGAGTCTACGAAAAAACAAAACTACGAAAAGTTCCAGCAATCGCTTCTCACGAACAAGGTGTACGTACTGTTTCTAAATCGACATACGATTTAAAACAGTCCCATTAACCTAAACTGGTAACACACGTTATTCGACACCGTGTCACTTTTCTAGAACCGAATCTCGTTAATATATTGAAACAAAATAATATTAACACAACACGAAACTTATCACCATGTGGGGTAGCTCATTCACACTTCTGAAATGTTAGAAACATTAATTATGCGATTATTTACCTTAATGTTTCCAGCTGAAAGTAATACACATATATAATTATTACATATAATAATAATGCACGTATACTTATCAATAATCTATTTACTCGTCAGGATATTATAGTTATATTTACAAAGAGATGTTTATCCTTCGACGGCAGCTTTAAAAAGGAATTAATCCTAAGCATTTACAAGCTAAGTGTAACAATTTCCGCGGTCAAAAGTGCGAGAACTAGACGACCATAAAGTTATTCTTCGTTACGCAAACGTAACGCGCGAACATTCAAAATGCCGCTAAAAATTCTCTCTATGGCTTCCTTTATTTCTTGGTCACTCACAAATTCATACGTTGCCGTGTTGTCATTGAATTGCCACGTCATTTAAATTGAGTACTAAACCTGCTTTTCTAAGAAAATCCATGCCTAGTAACGTGCAATTTGATCTTGCTGTCGGTATTGCAACAAACTCCGTGGCTATCAGTCTTCCCATTATGTGCACTATGGTGGTCGTTACTACCACATCCCTTGGTCTTGCTTCTCCGTCTGCCATGGTCATCTTTATGTTTCGCGGTTGAAACTCATGGCCAGTTTTCTTAAAACCTCATACAAATAATAACCTGCGAGGCTATGGTCGGCGCCAGTGTCCACGAAACCGTATCCCTTTACGTCTTGCGCCGTGATGGGTACAGCGGGTCTTGCATGTGCTCTCGGAATATTTACCGGAGCTTGTAAATTTACTAGAGGGTTTGCGTTTCTTCTGTTTTGTCGGGCTTTGAGGTGTCGACATTCCTCTGTCGTATGGCTCCTTTGTTTACAGAATGTACAGTCCACTCTGTTTTGTTTCTTGCCCCCGTCTTCTAAAGTCACAAAGAAGAAACTTGCCGCTTGTATCTCCGCTTTCTCGCAAGGGCTCGTTGTGCAATTTGGGCATTTACTGCGGATCACGCCTGGCTTACCGCAACCATAGCATCAGTATTTTGCTTTATCTTTTTGTATAGAAGCAGCTTTTGCCTGTGTCCTGGTTTTAGTCCGGTCCGGACTTTTCTTCAATGTGTCCGGTTCGTTTGCAGAACGTGCAAACTTTCTGCGTTTCTTCTTTGGGGACACATTTCTTGTTCTCGTTTAAGTTGGCTTCGATCTCTCGTGCTCTCGCCAGAAGTTCTTCGAACGATGAAACCGTTGTTCGCGGAACACGCTCACGAATATTTAATCGTAGCAGCCCGTATATCATGTCCAATTGGCTCCAGGCGGAGGAATCTCGGCAAATAGAGCCCTCTTCTTACATACGAATGTCGGCGTGCTACGGTCCTGTCGTAAGTTTAAAATCTCTAAATAGATTGCGTAGGCTGGTCTCTGAGGTGCAAATGAGGATTTTATTAGCACTATTGCTTCTGTAAACGTGCTTACCTCGCTTTTTATACCTTGCCACCAGGTGGCTGCGACGTCTTTTAGTAGTAGCGGGAGTCCCATGAGCGCTTTTTCTTTACTAATGTTCTCCATTTCCTTGTAGAGTGCTATCACTGTAGTAAATTCAGCAACTTTCTGCATTCGGCGTTCCATCGAAGCTTGCCTTGCAGTTTGCGAAACTACCTGAGCTTCTTTCTGAGGTTGATGGCCATATCTGTTGTGACGGTCAGATTCCTGCTGCATGCCAGATTTGTGCTGTATACTTTGATCCAATCTTTTTCTTGCCACAAAATTGGGCGCCTATTTGTGACCTTACGATGTTTGGTCGGTGAAAATATAATTAAAACAAAAGCAGTAAAGTAACTGTTTCTTATATTTATTAATTACAGGGTTCAAGAATAGGTTAAATACAAAATATTCGCACATTAATCTGTTTGCTTCGGCCTCTAGTAGTAGCGGAAAATCTGAATCTCGTCCAACACCGTCGAACTGTTGTGCATGAATCGCGTCGAACAGTTTTAATCCTCTTCTGGCTTGTCGTTCCGAAAAGATTATGGCTTGTCGTGCGTTAAGCGCGACAACCGTTGTAGATCTCCTGGAACTGTTGTGCGTGAGTCGCGTCGAACAGTTTTGATCTTTTTGGGACTGTTGTGCGTGTGTCGCGTCGAGCAGTTTTATTCTTCTTGGGACTGTTGTGCGTAAATCGCGTCGAACAGTGTAAAACTCCTAGAACTGTTGTGCGTGAGTCGCGTCGAACAGTTAATGGTACTTGAGGCTTTTAAGTCAGCTATCAATTACAACTTTTTTGCTTTTGCAGGCCAATTTATACTAAGGGTTACTTTTGTAAATAGACTATTTCGTAAAAGATCTCGACATGGTTCACGATCATTTATTTCTGAAACATCAGTATCAGTCAAGATTGTCTTGTTTGATTCTGAGTCATTATTTTCAAATAGATTTATTTCTTTGATCTCTAAATCTATTTGTACATTATAATACTTGCTACCTAAAATCCACACAATATGAGTGAACATTTTTCGAGCATGGTTTAAATCTCTACATCTTCCACCTAAAAGAAAAATAATTGAGCTTACAGCTACAGATATTATTTCCTGATTACCATTTGCAAATTTTTTTGCATGATATGACAGTCTCTTTGTGAAATGACTGCAACATAAATGTAATGTTATGTTTTCTGTAAAAAGTTCAGAACTATTATCATTTAAAAACATATGGCACTTATTAATATAATCAATCAAATTTGTATTATTGCAACCTTGAATTATCGCACGAATGCTTGCATAGCTGTGGCATTCTGATTCTGTTGAGATTAGCTTACTTCTCGAGCACGACCACCGCGGCGGCCTCTGTTGCCATGGAAGCTGCTGCTGCTTGCAGAAGGGAGAAAATTACTTCGCGGTGGCTTTCTGCCGCGCTGTATTTTACCGCCCCGTCCTCCTGGGACTAAAGTAATAATATTATAACAACTTATAGCTAAGTATATTTACGAATGTATTTACATAATATTATATAAATGCTACATTGCATTATCAAGATAAATTTTAAGACTAACGCCCTCAGTATTTTTGAGTAAATTGTTAAATAACTCAATAAATATATACTATCATACGGCATATCAAACGGCAGCAAAGCCACCGTCTTCCACTCTGCTTAAATCTCTACTTGAATTTTATTTAAAACTTCTCCAACTACCTGGAGCTAGCAATCTGCCATAAGAAAAATCATAATGAAAAATTGCTTAAATTTGTATATAAGTTCCTTATATATATACTTATATATAAGATTTATATTTTTTTGTTGAGACAATTATATTTATATTTATACCTTCATCGTCATTTACAATCGCACATAATGCCACTGCATGTCCCAAATATGTAGTCAAGACGATGTCCCCGAGACTCTCTGGCCTCGGATTTAAAAGTATTAAATCTATCATAGTAAAAAATAGAAATATGTACACGTCCTGAACAATAAAGAATTGGATTTAAATTACTTACATTTTTTTCATTCTTGACTTGGTGTGAGTGCCCGTGAACAAAATGAGTACCTCCTCCACAGGTATCTTTTGTAACGTTGAGAATGTCAACTGTTGTGCAGCATCTTTAGTTGAGACTAGAGAAAATGTAATACCATCAACTCGGATTTTCTCGCGAAAACAAAGTTTGTAAGTGTAAAACGAAGGAGTAGTCATTACAAACTCAATTTGTTTGTGTCTATAGAGCGCCCGATCAAAATGCGAATAAATTTACAAGTCTTCTTTATGATTTAATTGAAAACCTTTTCAATAATTATGACTCAATTACTGTGTGTGGAGATTTCAATATACATTTCGATAAAGCTTCTAAGCCTTGTGAAAATCTTCTACAAAGTATGAAATCCTTTGATATGAATCCCATGATTAAAAAACCAACTAGAATTACAAACTCTTCCGCATCTTGTATTGACAATTTTTTCACAAATTTATCTAACGTCGAATCTTTCGTTATAAATACAAGCCTCTCTGACCATTACGGCATTATTCTTAATATCCCAAGCAATATAGAATCATCAAACCTGTCTTTAAATACAAACGCAAATTTAACGATACAAATAAACTAAAATTTAGAACACTTTTAGAGCAAGAATCATTATTAGCATTGGATCAAAATATTACGTTTGAGGTATTTATTACTTCTTTTTTGTCTAAATTTAATCTCGCATTTCCAATATTAAAGTCTAAGAGTTCTTTAAGCAAAGATCTGCGCACTTGGTCCACCAAAGGGTTAAATATCTCTTATAATAAGTTACTGCAATTAGAAAGAATATCCAAAAACAATAACGACTTAAATTTCATGATTTACTTTTTGAAATATAGAGAAATATTTAATAACTTATGTAAAATTGCTAAAATTATGTATAATGACAATATTATTACGAAATCTAGCAACAAACAAAAAGCAATGTGGTCTCTCATTAAATCTGAAGTGAATTTAAAATTGTATTCCTCTGAAATAGATTTTCTAACTATAAATAACGTCAAAATTCGAAATAAACAAAAAATTGCAAACTCGTTGAATAATTTTTTTGTTAATGAAGCATTCGATATGACATCAAACATTGTAGTCGACCCAGTTATTTCCAGCACATTTTTTTCAAAAATCGCCGTAAATTCCAAATCATTATATCTTTACCCTATTTCTAACACAGAACTCTCTAACGTTATCTTATCTCTCAAAAATACCTACTCTTCTGGTCCTGATGGAATACCATCGGATATTCTTAAATCATTTTTTCCATTTTTTATTGATAAACTTTCATTATGTTTCAACAATGCTATGAGTGAAGGTTCATATCCTAATCATTTCAAGCATTCAAAAATTAGACCTCTTCATAAAAAAGGTCCTACTGATATTATTAATAATTATAGGCCCATTTCTTTGTTGAACACTTTTAATAAAGTTTTTGAAAAAATATTGTATAACAGACTTAATAACTTCCTGTCTGCAAATAACATTCTTTTTAAAAATCAGCACGGTTTTCGTCAAAACCGCTCAACTTTTCATTCAATATACACATTGGTTCATAATATTATAAACTCTTTTGAAGAAGGTTCTTATTGCGTGACAGTATTTTGTGATCTTTCTAAGGCTTTCGATAGCATTTCCCATGAAATCCTTATTAATAAATTAGAAAAATATGGTGTGCGTGGTTTACCACTTCAACTATTCACATCTTATCTATCTGGCAGAACACAATCAGTCTATCTTGATGATCAAGACTCCACAGTAATATCTAATAAGTTAAATATAAAACTCGGAGTCCCACAAGGCTCTATTCTTGGTCCCTTATTATTTTTAATTTATATTAATGATTTGCCAAATTGTACCGATCTTTGCAAATTTATTCTTTTTGCCGACGACACAAGTTTAATTATTAAAGGAAAATCTTTTGAGGAAGTCAGTTTTAAACTAAATCAATCAATGATTGCAGTTTCTAATTGGTTCAACTCTAATAACCTTTTACTTAATAGCGATAAAACTAAAATAATGTCGTTTCGAACAGTCAATAGGATTAATAACGAAATCAATTCCCTAATTATTAATGATGTCCTCTTTAATTTTTCTGCCGTTTCTAAATTCCTAGGAATTCAAATTCAAAAAAATTTAAATTGGGATAATCACATTTATTCGTCATTAATACCTAAACTTTCCAGAACTTGTTTCATGTTAAGAGTGCTCAAATCTAAAATTAGTTTAAATTGTCTTCTTTCTATCTATTACTCCAACTTCTACTCGCATTTGGTCTACGGCATTCAATTTTGGGGTTTTTCACCATCCTTAAAACATGTTTTCAAACTTCAGAAAAGAGCATTAAGAATCATGTTCTCTCTTAACTCGATGACAAGTTGTAGAAATATTTTTCAGAAGTATAACATTCTTACTGTTCCTAACATATTCCTACTTATTACACTTCTCTTTATAAAAAATAATCCCCAGTACTTTAATTTATCTTCCATGTCTGATTCCCACTATGTCACAAGAAATAGAACTATCAAAGGATCGACTTTTAAGCTTAATACTACTTTTAATTCAATTGATGGTTTTGGTATTCAACTGTTCAATTTATTACCTTTACAAATACGTCAACTAAGCAATCATAAATTCCACAACGTTTTGATTAATTTACTAAAAACCAACAGTTTTTATGACATTTCTGAATATATTAATTTTGACTTCAAGAAATACAGTACCATCCCCTTAATATCATAAATATCTATTGTTTACTGATTATATGTGATATCTTACAAATACAGCAATTTTTGGCTATAACTGAGTATTACTTAGCTTTGAAATATTTTTCTTCGTCTCTGATACTGCTCTTTTTTTTCTTTCAGAAAAGCTTTTAAACTTTTAAATAATTTCTGCAAATTAATGGATATACAGGACCTCAACTTTTGAAGATGCTCTAAACGAAGATGTAATATCAAGTTTCATAAAATCAAGACTCAAAATTAAATTAGTTTAGCACTCCTTTATTTGTATTTCTATATTTGGTTGTTCTGTTATTTAATTGTAAATTTGTATATCTAATACATCTAATACATCAATTAATTAATTATAAAAGTTAAAAATTAAAAAAAGCATGTACCGTAATTACGTTACGTGTTATTATATCCCATAGTATTCTGTATATATAGAATAGAATAGAACTTTATTAAAATTCAATAGTTACAATTTAAGTCA